CCCGCGCCCAGCCCCATCTCCCACACAGTGAGCCCAGCCAGTGTCTGTGAAGACGGACTGGTTTGTCATCCCCAGCTCAGGGATGCTAGGAAAGTGCCAGCCCTACCTTTCTTCCTTATGAGCTCCCAGGTGTGCTTACCAACTGCTTTCTGTTCTTCCAGGAGGCTGTTTGCTGGTTTATAAACTAGCAAATCACTTGTAACAACTGTTTCTGGGGAGATCGCCATCTTAATCATTCCAGAGCTGTCCTGTGACAGTGGTTTACATGAGAGGCGGAGAGAGAGGAGAGAGAGGAGAGAGAGAGAGAGAGAGAGAGAGAGGAGAGAGAGAGGGGAGAGAGAGAGGGGAGAGAGAGAGAGAGAGAGAGAAGAGAGAGGGGGGAGAGAGAGAGGGGAGAGAGAGAGAGAGAGAGAGAGAAGGGGGGGAGGGAGAGAGAGAGAGAGAGAGAAGGGGGAGAGAGAGATAGAGAGAGAGAGAGAGAAGAGAGAGGGGGGAGAGAGAGAGAGAGATAGAGATAGAGAGAGAGAAGAGAGAGGGGGGGAGAGAGAGAGAGAGAGAGAGATAGAGAGAGAGAGAGAGACTCCTATCTACTGGTCTACTTCCCAAAACACCCCACAACGGCTGGGGCTGGGTTGAGCTGGGCCAAATTAGGAGCTGGGAGCCCAATCCATTTCTCCTACGTGGGCAGCAGGAACCCTATCACCTAAGCCATCACTGCCACCTCCCACAGTCTGTCCTAACAGGAAGCTGGAGTCAGGAGCCAGAGCCAGAAATTGGACCCAGGCCCTCTGTATGGGGGCATGGGTATCCCAACCCATATCTTAACCACTGGGTCCAATGCCTGCCTTGCCTTATGACATTTTAAATGCAAAATCAGATAGACAAGACAAGCTATCGTCTCAGACTCCCGTCTCCTCTGTTACTATCATCCAAAGCCAGCGTCCAGTTGCAGAGTCTTGGGTAGGGCCTGCAGCTCTTTCTGGCCCCTCTGAAACTGGGGCTGCTGGGAGAGGCCCAGCGGCCTGGTCCTGCTTCTCCTTCTCACAGAGAGCAGGTCTGCACACAAGCGCTCCTGAGCCGCCTCGGCACCCTTCCCAGGACAGCCCTGGAGCCCTGCCAGGAGGGAGGGTGCCCCGGGGAGGGACATAGTATCAGGAAGCAGACACCGTGGCGTGCAGGCACACACACGCACATGCATGCGGGGGCCCTGCATCTTTCTAGGCTGCAAGAGAAAGTGGAAATCTGGATTTTTTATGTGAAACATCTTGATTTTTAGAGCACTCCCTGAGCCAAAATACAAACCCAAACCACATGAGAATCCCCACCAGCCACGTCTGTGGGCCACTATTTGTGACCTCTGGGAGAGCCTGGCAGTCCATAAACATCCCAGGCAGGAGTGCAAATGTGTGGACACACAACTCCCCCGGGGCCATCGGCATCACGCATCCACTCACCCAGACGCGCACACGTGATGGAGCCCACGCCGAGCTCTGACACACACACAGTCCATGTCTTGAGAAAGGAGATTGCGCGTCACAGAGATCACCAAGATCGCAGAACTAGTGGGTGGCTGGCCTCGAAGCCCAAGCTCCCCGACCACAAAGCCGGGGCTCTGACCTGCTACACAAACAGCCCCCCATTCGCGCGCACTGAGAACTTAAGGTGCTGTTATTCGGTATCCTCCACCAAACTCTGCAAGTTAGGGACCGTGCCTCTGCATCTAGCACTGTGCCCAGCGCAGCCTAGAAGGTGCCCAATGGATGCTGTGGGTTGTGCCCACAGCAGTTCACGAAAGGTACAGACACAGCTCGTGTAATCTCACAAAACCCCATCGTGCCCAAGACCACATGCCCACCCGCACTCCCACATGCACAGCGCCCACCCCGTCTCCCACCTCCCAGGCACTAGAACCTAAGTTGAGCCACCCCAAGTTCCCCCTGCCGGCCTCGCCCTGCCCAAAGCCTTCACGGATAGTTTCCTGGATCTCAAGGCGGCTGTGGCGTTCTTTTTCCCTAACTCGGGAGACAACTCAGCAGTTTTGTTTTTCAAAGTCTGGGACTCATAAACCTGGAATTCTGTCTTCATTTTTTCCACCAGAATTTTCCTTGGCCTGTTGCCTTTTCCTCCGGGCTTTAGGCCGGGAGGTTACGCTCGGAGCGCCCTCTGCTGGACACCGTCTTCCCAACCTAGTGGGTAGCTGCAGGGGGGGACCAACTTCAGACTGCTTTGCAGATGGGGAAACTGAGTCAGATGGTGGCAGTGGGGAGAGGCTGAAGGATGTGGCCTCATCCCAAGTAGATGCCAGTGAGTGTTACTAGGAAGTGGTGTTTTGTCATTTTAATTTCCATTGTTGAAAATGATGAAACAAGAAACAGCTAGCTGCCTGAGCTCAGGTGCAGGGCCCTGCTCGCCTCAGCGCCCCTGTGTGGGGCAGAGCGTAGAGGATTAGGGACATCACCGGATTCACCTTTCCTTGAATCAGCAATGCATTGATCAGTGTGGGGTTGTGAGTTACTGACCTGCTGCCGCGTGCTGGTTACACCTGCCAATCTCCATCATTCCCACGTCACACACCACCTCGTCAGGAAAGTGGTCCAGTCTCCATTCTATGGATTCGGATGCAGAGGCTCAGTGAGGTCGCAGGAGCAGCAGGGACGGGGAAGAGCTGGGATTTGAGCATGGAGCTGCTGTTTTCTTGGCTTTGCATCCTCCTGGATTTTTCCCACTTGGCTCCAGGACTGAACTCAGTGGGGCCCAGGGCAGGGCCTCGGTGGCTGGTGTCACCGGAGAGACAGGCTCCTTGGTCTTTCTGTTCAGCGAGGGATGTTCTGCTCCCTGGACTCTTGCACAGGGCCGCATTCGGGGCCACAGAGAAATGGTTTAAGCAGCCCCATCGGGCTTTTGAAGCCAAGGGCTTCAGAGCTGGGAGCGGAGTCCTGGGGCTGGCAGCTGTGTCAAGGCCCCTTAATGAACACTGAAAACAGGATTGGGGTGGGGGTCTTTCTAAACTGAACACATGAGTGGCTCCAAAGAGCAGGAGATTTCCTGGAAAAAAAGCAGGCAGGTCCTGGAAGGGTTTTCTTGTTTTTCTTTTTCGTGGCACCCTGGTTAATGACTCAAGGAAATGCAGAATGTGTCTCACCAGGAATTAGTCACTCCCTAATCCACCTTCATCCTGCTGCCCTGTTAGGAACTTTCAGAGCTGCTCATGTCTTGCAGGAGACACTTCAGAGCCCTCATCTTGTTCATTTGCAGCCCAGCTTGGTCTTCCTCTTCCACTGTTTGACCCGAGGGTCTCTGTGCACACCTCCCCAGCCTCCCACCTCTGGGCGTTCGCTCACATTTCCCCGGCTTTGAGATGACTGCATTCCAACACATGCATGTGTTAGGCAGTTCTTCAGGGTCCAACTCAAAGGTCCACCTTCTTCATGGAGCCCTCCGCACTGCACCCAGCAGGAATGTCCCACCTTGTGGTCATCTTCTGGGTGCTTGTTTCAGCTCCCTTAAGAGACCAAACCCTTTGGGAAGCAGTGTTGGAGTCACTTAAATTTTTTCCTTTTAATTTGAGAGGCAGAGAGTGAGTGAGAACTCTCATCAACTGATTCACCCCCTCCCCAAATGCCCACAATGGCCAGGACTTGTGCCAGCACCTGCTGCCTTCCAGGGTCTGTATTGGCAAGGAGCTGGAATTGGGAGCCAGAGGCAGCCATTGAACCCATGCGCTCTGGCACGAGATGTGGACATCTTATCCAGCATCTTCACCACTAGGTCAAATGCCTGCCCCACTAGATTCATTTCTGATTTTTCCCATGTTGAGTGTGTGTGTGTGTGTGTGTGTGTGCGCGCGCACACACTTTATGCTTAGCTGTAGGAGACCCGTGGCTCTGTCATTAGAAGACCAGGGCTGAATGAAGACTGTGTTGCAGAGAGGTCGTAACAAGGGGATCTTCTTTATTTCTTCCCGAGAGAGGGGGCTTCATGAGCTTACTTAGAGACCTCAGAACCTGCCAGTGGTAGTTTGAGAGCAGGAGATGGGGTGCACTTTGTCCAACAGTGGCATCTGAGAGCTACCTGAGAAATCCTAAGGAGAGACAGCCACCATGTCAGACAAATAAGGCAAAGGAGAGGGTGGCTCTGCTGGGATCCACCTGACCTCCCGAAGTTGGTTTGGCCAAAGGACGTGGTTCCCAGAGTTAGAATGGGGCATGTCCAGGAAGAGCTCATGTCGAGGGTTCAGGGATGAACTAAAGCTGCTGCGAATCCCCAGGACTGCAGAGGAAGGGAACAATGGGACACAGGCTAGTGCAGAGCTGCCAAGAAACCGGAGGTCCTTAGTGACTGGGGGAATGCCTAAAAACCCCATGGACATGCACACAGAGGAAGCTTGAAAGCCCCTGAAAGCCATCAGAGGACCGTGCTGGTCAAGTGAGAGCTCTCCTGACTGCTCTCTCCTCCCTACTCCATCCCTTCAACCCAGAGAGGGCAGCAGTCACATCCAGCTCGCACAGCCCTGTGAGTGTACTTACCGCACTTCCAAGTGGCTAAGGTGGGAGGTTTGTGCTGTGCTGCATTCTAAAAAGGTGCTGTCCCAGTAAAAGCAGCCACAGTTGGTCCGGGGAGACTGGGCTGCTAGTGACCCTGTTTCCAGCGCTATGGGCTCTACCTGTGGCAAGCCCCAGCTGGGAAAGGAGAGGGGACTAAATATTAAGGCAAGTTTGGACTCTTGCTCTCATGGGGGACGGAACATCTAAGTGGTGACTGGAGTTGTAACTGGCATCCTCACCAGACTGTCTACTTCCTGAGAGTGATCAGAGTAGTTGTAAGATGCTCAAGCTTTCACTAAAGGCTGGGGAAAGGACTTCTTTTTATCTGAGTACATTCTATAGAGGATTATAAGACAAAATACAGTTGATTTTTGAGTATCCACAGTGAGCCTCATTTACTCAATATAGCCATTATAGATTTGCTATGATAAAATGCGACCTCTTCTTCCATTACAGATTTCCAGTTGGTGTTGTTTGCTTCTATCTCTTCCTTTCAAAGCAGGTAAGACACTGTGCTGGCCTTGGTCCAGCCATTTAGCCATTGCCTGAAAGTTCAGCTGTACCTTAGGCTTCACGTGCGCACCTGCAGGGTACCCTCAGGTCAAGGCACTCAGTCTTGTGTGCCTCTGTTGCAGGATCTTCAGCTCGGAGTCTGATTGCTCTAGAGTGCCACCGACTTAATTCATTCCTACCTTCTGCCAGGTCTTGTGCTCAGGACACAGAAAGGGACAGGACAAGGAGCTCACAGTGGGACAGAGGGGCATGGATAAGCAGTCAGAGGACTGTGTGTGGGGTGAGTGCCAGCACAGGGGTGTCTTCAGGGAACAGTTTATTGGCCCTCTCACCTCATCTATTCCTTGAAGCAGGTGCAACGTCCAGCCCACAGTGAGCACCCTAACTCAGGCCATGCAATTCTTTTCCATAAGTCAAGTCTTTCAGGAAATCCTTGCTTTAATTCTGTTTCTATTCTGACTGCTTCTGTACTCTTTCCTCTCAGTACTTTGAAATTCAGCCTTGTGTTCATTTATCCTGGTGCTACGAACACACTGCACGAAGGTAATCCACGGGATGGTGACAGCTGGCTCAGAAGAGTCGGAGATGGGATTTGAACCCAGCTTGATTCCTGCTCTCATCCTTAGACAGTTACTACATAGTGGTGATCACTGACTGTGTGTGTGTAACACTTCCACTGGCATTTTTCAGTTTCCATCTTGTCTCACGATGGCTTTCTAGAGGCAGCATACCATGTTCATGGAATGTGTGTACCATCAGGGATGCAATTAGTTCCCCCTTTCAGGCTATCACTTTACATGTCACATTTGAATATCATGTATGGAACTTTGCTAAAGTATGGTGCATTGTTTTACCACAATTCCAGACCCCTGTGTCCACGTGAATGTCTAAAAGTCTTCTCAGATGTAGCCAGGCCTATTGTCTTCTGTATTAGAGAATATACAGAGGCCCTTGGTGGCTTTTGAGTTGGCTTGTGAGGGTGGTGGCAGCAAAGATCAGTTGTCCTTTGCTTTCCTTCATGAGGCATTGGTTCCCTGACCTCGCTGGGCACCAAAATCTGCAGGTGCTCAAAGCCCTTGCATAAAACAGTGTAGCACTGGCATATGACCTGCACGCACCATCCCTTAGACTTCAAATCATCTCTAGATTACTTATGATATCTAACACAATGTGAATGCTATGTGAATGGCTATTATGCTATATTGTTTAGGGAATAATGGCAAGCAAGAAAATCTTTTTTTTTTTTTTTTTTTGACAGGCAGAGTGGACAGTGAGAGAGAGAGACAGAGAGAGAAAGGTCTTCCTTTGCCGTTGGATCACCCTCCAATGGCCGCCGCTGCAGCCGGCGCACCGCGCTGATCCGATGGCAGGAGCCAGGATCCAGGTGCTTTTCCTGGTCTCCCATGGGGTGCAGGGCCCAAGCACCTGGGCCATCCTCCACTGCACTCCCTGGCCATAGCAGAGAGCTGGCCTGGAAGAGGGGCAACCGGGACAGAATCCGGCGCCCCAACCGGGACTAGAACCCGGTGTGCCGGCGCCGCAAGGTGGAGGATTAGCCTATTGAGCCACGGCGCCGGCTTAAGCAAGAAAATCTTTGCACATGCTCTATACAGATGCAATGTTTTTCCCCCCAATTGTTTTGATATATCACTGGTTTGATCCACAGTTTCTGACTATATCACAAACTGGGCACCTTAAAGCAACGGAAGTGCATTCTGTCACAGTTCTGGAGGTTGGGAGTCTGAGATCAAAGTGTCATTGGGATGGGTTCCTTCCAGGGCTCTGTGGGTGAATCTGCCCCACTGTCTCCCACCTCTGGGGGCAGTGGTGATTCTCGGTGTTCCTTGGCCTGTACGTGTATCCCTCTCATGTCTGCATCTTCACACAGCATCCACTCCCTGCTGTTGTCCCCACATGGTCCGCTCGCTGGTGTTTCCATTTCCGTGTCTGAAGTTCCCTCTTCTTACAGGGACAGCAGTCACATTGGATCAAGGGCCTACCCTATTCCAGTATGATTTCATCTTAACTGATTCTCTAATTACATATGCAACAGCCTCACTTCCAAATAAGGTCACATCCTGAGGTACCGTGGGTGGCGGGCAGAACTTCAATGCATCTTTTAGGGGCACTCAGTTTAACTCATAACATCTCCGTTCTGTGTTTTCGTAAATTTATTTTCTGAATTGGCACTCACAATATCTCAAGCCAAGAATCCTTGAGTAATCCTTGCTGTTTCTGCTTTCATTATCTCATCCTAATTCTTCCACCAAATCCCTTCAGCCCCACTCCAAATATACCCAGAATCCACCCATTTCTCTCCACCTCCAGTTCTACACTTCCAGTTTGAGCTGGTAACCTCTCTCCAGGACAACTGCAATAGCTCCCAGACGTTCTCCCTGCCTCTGTTATCACAGATAATCAGGTTTCAGGCCCGTGCTGAGTATGCCCGGCTTATAAACCCCAAACATCTCCCGAGTGCTCACTAAATTCCATGGGTCTGACCCCTCCCACACCTCAGACCTCCTTCCCCACCGTGTGCTTTCTGTGATGCAGCCATGCCGGCCTCCTTGCTGCTCCCAGCACCACTGGCTGTTTAGAGTCGCCAGCCTCCCTTTCTGGAATGTTCTGTCCTGGACTTTCATTTGGTGGTTCTACCTCATCATGAGAATCTCAGCTAAAATGCCACCGGGTGTGGAACATTGACCTGGTGGCCCCTGCAACAGTCCATAGTAGTCCCGAACTTTTAATTATCTGCAGAGAATTATTTATATAAGTATTAATTGTCTTTCTCCCCAAGTATGGCCATCTTCAGGAGAGTAGGGCCTTGTTTATCATGAATGCACCATTTAGAATCATCTAGTCTGACATGTAGGAGGCACTCAATAAATATTTATTGAATGAATAATTAATCCTCCACAGAAGACCTTTGTGTGCAAACATTGTTTTTCCTTTTGAGAATTTACTCTGTATAAATAATTCAACAGGAAGATCACCAGATCAAGAGATATAATCATATTTTAGCTCATGAAATGTATTGTCAAATAGCTTTGCAAAGAGGGAAGATCAGTTTTCATTTGTCGGGCAGCCTTTTGAATCCTGTGTGCCAAGGTGGTGATTTATAGTACACGGGGAGGGGAGGGGAGGGGAGGGCCCGAGAGGGATGTGGGGCTGCAGGTTAGAGCCTCTGCCTCTAGGGGGTCAGCAGACACAGTGGCAATAATTAACCGACTCAGCAGTCTACTCCACAGGCTGTCAGGAGGGGCTGTGGCCGGGCCACACAGGCCCATGCAGGGGCAGATCTCCCATGTGCACTCAAGTCTGGCGGTAGAAGTGGAGGTGAGCAGAAAAACTGGTGGGTGCACCTGCTCTTCCGCTCAGTGAGGTCCTTCCTGGAGGCCCAGCTGGGGAGCTGTAAGGGGCTGGAGTCCAGGGCACAAAGTGGGCTTGGATCTGGTACAGAGGCCCCTTTGCAGAAGCTATTTCTCTCTTTCTTCTTAAAAATATTTATTTAAGGGGCTGGTGCTAGTGGCCTAGTGGGTGAAGCTGCTTCCTGCAGTGCCAACATCCCATACGGGCGTTGGTTCAAGTCCTGGTTGCTCTACTTCTGATCCAGCTCTTTACTGTGGCCTGGGAAAACAGTGGAGGATGGCCCAAGTCCTTGGGACCCTGTACCCTTGTGGAAGACCTGGAAGAAGCACCTGGCTCCTGGCTTCAGATCGGCGCAGCTCCAGCTGTTGCAGCCACTTGGGGAGTGAACCAGCGGATGGAAGACCTTTCTCTCTGCCTCTGCCTCTCTGTGACTCTGCTTTCAAATAAAATAAATAAATTCAGACTGAAGAGTTACAGAGAGAGAAGGGGGAGGGAGGGAGAGAGGGAGAGAGGGAGAGAGAGAGGGAGGGGGAGAGAAAGAGGGAGAGGGAGAGGGAGAGGGAGAGGGAGAGGGAGAGGGAGAGGGAGAGGGAGAGGGAGAGTCTTCTATCACTTCCCAAATGGCTACAACAGCCAGGACTGGGCCAGGCTATGAGTGATCCTTGATTACTCCCTTCTGGGTCTCCCACGTGTGTGCAGGGGCCCAAGGACTTGGGCCACCCTCCACTGCTTTCCCAGGCGCATTAGCAGGGAGCTGGATCAGAAATGGAGCAGCAAGGACTCAAACGTGTGCTCTGATTTAGCACTGCAGGCAGTGGCCTAACCCACTAAGCCATCGGCCGGCCCTGGAAGCCATTTCTGAACTGGAGCTGGTCTCCCTAGGACACCGGATCTGGAGATTAAGTGACACGAGCTCCTCTGTACATAAACCTGTCTGAACAGAGAGGCCTGTTTTATGCAGTCATACACATGGCCAGGCCCTTTCCACAGTGCTCTGCCCCGTGTCCCTGTGCTGGCTTTCTGTCCAGACAGCAGAATGATGGCAGATTTTTTTTTTAAAGGACTTACATGAATAACACTTGGCTAGGAACATTACTAAAAAAATGAAATGAACAAGAAAAAAAAATCCCAAGAATAAATACAAGGCAATAATAAATAAGCCAATGCAAGATAACTGCAAACTGATAATAAGCAGAAGGAAAAAAGAGAAATGGTTACAACTGCAGGAAACAGCATGAGTTAAAGGAAAATATCAGAAAAGGAGAACAAGTTGCTTTACTGAATGCTGAAATGCGAGGTTCAGCCACCACATGCAGGCTTACACTGCCACGGGGTTGGGGGGAGCCAGGGTCCTGGGGTACTTGGTAGTGTGGAACCCTGCCAGCCAAGGGCCTGGGCAGTGGTCGCCAGGGTGAGAGCTTGGGGGCCCCACTTTTCGGCCTGCGGTTTATCTCCCCAGACACTCGGGCACTTAGGGCCCTTCACTCTCCACGGGCACCAGCCCTCTTCTGGGATGCTCGCCTCCCGGTTCCTCCTTCAAGACCACGTGGAGGCAGCAGCTGCGCGGAGCTGGGGACTGGATTCCCAAGGACTGGAAGGCCTCAGGGAAGGCACTGATGG